CTCGGGCGAGCGCCTAGCGCCTCGGGCGTTTTTGGACCTTGGCGCCTAGCGCTTTTTAAATCACTGGTGTGGAGTTGGACTTTGGGGCCACCATCCCTACAAAATTAGTGGACCACTTGGCTCTTGGTGCTCGATAATTTTTTAAAACTCCACAAATATTTTTGTTGCAAAAAAAATTATATATTTTGTTAGATCATGGTTTTCATTGCTTCTTCTCCCCTCGTTTTCTCCCTTTTTTTTTTATTTATCAGCCTCTCTCTCCCCTTTAACTACAATGTCAACTACAGTACCACTAAAATTTAAAACCTTGAAAGTAGTAAAAAAAATCTCAAAAGTGAGAAAAAAAAAAGAAGAGCTACTTGAATCATTGCATTGCTACCTTGTGCATTGCAACAATTAACAACTTCATTAGCAAAAGACAATTTGTCCATAACATTAGAATCATAACTAGGCGAGGTGAAAACCAACCAAAACCTAATGATTCCCAAAATCAACAAAGTGAGGCAAACATCCATGGGATCAAACTAAAAGATCATAGCACGATATTGAATAAGTTATCTAACCAAATAACCCAAGTCCTAGAAGCTCTCCGACACCTTGAAAAACAACCTATGAATTAGGAGGTTGATAAGCTGGTTAAGCAACATGACCATTCTCCACAATTCATAACTTTAAATATGGAATTTTGCTCACTCCCCAAACTCCACTTTGAATGAATCCTAGGTCCATATATAGGGCACCTATTCACAATTATGCTCCAACAATATCTGATGACCAAGCCTTTGACCATTATGATGAATTCCTAGGACCTGCTAGAAACTCACAAACTCAAGCAATAGGTCAACGAGTTTGATTTACTGACAATTTGTGGAAATGGCTAGAAGAGTCAAAATGGATGTGCTAGACTTTGATGGTAGGGTTGACTAAAATATATTTGTTGACTAGTTAGATATAATGGAGGGCTACTTTGAGTGGTATAGAATGACTAATATCGATCGCGTGCGATTTTCAAAATTGAAACTGGTAGGATCCACTAGGAAGTATTGGCAACATGTACAACGTACTCTTGAACACCGTCGAGAGCCTCCTATCACTCAATGAGAAGTCATGAAACAAAAACTTAGAAAAAATATTTGCCAACCTACTTTCAAAGCCAACTAATTGAATAGTTGCTAAACCTGAAACAATTGACTTCAAATGTGATTAAGTATCTGGCACAATTTGAGGAACTTTTACTTAGCTGTGAAATTAAGGAGGATCAAATCATCGTTATCCAAAGGTTTGTTAATGGGTTAAGGTTTGACATCCAATGAGATGTCTACCTTAATTTCCCCCAACACCATGGAGGAAGCTTCCGATAAGCCCTGAAGATTGAGAAGTAGTGACTCTATCCAACTCATCAAGCATCTTCTCAGTCTGCAATAAGAGAACCATATCCCAATCTACCCTAAGTAGTGACTCTATCAAGCCAAAAATCCCCACTACTAGCAACACCCCTGACCCAACCATGAATCGTCTACAACTCATTTGATCACTAATTCTCAAACTGAAAGCCTACTCATGAGATGAAAATGAACTAGAAATTGAAGATACTCATGTCAATGTTGCCCGCATCATTCTCTCTACTACTAGTGATTCCGATGAATCGAAGAGGAGAAGTATCTTCTATACTTTTATCCTAAGCAGGGAAAGAACTTGCAAGTTGGCTATAGATGGGAGTAGCAATATGAACATAATCTTAAAATCTACTATCCAGAGACTAAACCTAAAGGTCGAGTCACATTTGACACCATTCAACGTAGGGATGTCAACAGGCAGAGCAAGGCAAGGAGTGCTTCCTTGCCCCCATCCCCTATCATCCCTCATCCCCACCTCATTCCCCGTTTAGATGAGGTGGGAGCAAGGATGGGGATTCCCCATTTGGGGCGAGGAATCTACGGGTTCTCTATATTCTCCTAATTAATCAATTTCATTTAAAAAAATAAAACTATTATCAAAGTTAATTAAAAATACCAAAGTTTATAAACAATAACAAATAATATTTGTAAAGTTTACATGTCATAACAATATTCAAATGTAAATATATCCAAATATAAACAACAATATTTGTTAATACTATGTCATCTGGTTCAATCAAATCAAATTGCTCACAATTGATTCAACTAAGGCTCAACCTAATCTGATTTGAATTAGGTGGGCGATTGACCCGTCCAATGTCTAGGCCCAATATTTTGGCCCACATATTGGCGGGGTGGGTACGAGTACAGGGACGGGATGGGCGGAGTGTTTTACCCATCCTCATCCCATAACTGTGTGGGTAATAAAAAATGCCTTGAATCCCCGCAGGTATAATTGACACCTCTAATTCAAAGTAGCTTGGGTTGGCAAAACGAATTTACCTGTGATTAAGAGATGCTTGGTATCCATCAAAATAGGCAAATACCAGGATGAGATTTACTGTGACATTCTACCAATGGGCATTGCCCATATTCTTATAGGTTGACAATGGTTGTATGTCCTCGATGTTATCGATCATGAGAGAGAAAACACGTCTTTTGATACAAAGATAAAAACATCATCTTACGACCAATGAAACCATAAAAAAAGTACAAATCGAGAATCCTCAAGTCTCTTTCACAAGCCTCAACCACCAAGAGATTCCACTTATTGGGTCCTAAATCTTTTGAAGTAGAAAGCTTAGACAACAAGTCTTGTATGGTCATCATTGCTAGAGAAATTCCTAGCCTTTGTATTACTCCTGACCTAACTCTTAAGGTTAAATCCTTGTTAGACGAATTTTTTGATGTCATACATTCAGAATTACCTAGTGAACTACCACTCTTACGGGAAATCCAACATATCATTAACATTACATCCCTTCCACTTAACTATCATGCCTCATAACCAACCCACTCCTTTGTTCAACACATTCATGATTTGCATACTGATTTGATGTAATATTATCCTAAGTAATAAAAGTTACAAATTTGCTTCTAACGCACAATGAAGGAGTCAAGAGTTACAAGTTGGTGATTATGTCTTGATTCGCGTTCGCCCTAAGAGATTCCCCAAAAATTCATTCAAATTGCATGCCCAAGCTAATGGTCCTTTCCCTATTATCTAAAAATTGGGATCTAATGCAAACATACTCGATTTGTCTTCTGACTTAAATATAAGTCCAATTTTTAATGTGGATAATTTAACTCCATATCATGGTATTTTTTAGCCTCTTTTGTCTACCAATATTCTTGTAGGTGACGATCCTCCTAAAGCACGAACTCTCCCACAATACAATGATGTCATAGAGGTCATTCTTGATAATCGTCTTATTATGTCTACTACAAGCATCACGTAACACTTTCTTGTCAAGTAGCATGATCTTCCTGCTTTTGATACCACTTGGATTACTTTGGAGGTACTTTGTGATTGTGCACTAAAATTATTGGACAAGTGCCTTGCAGATCACTTTCTGAGGTTGAATTCTTTTCCTCTGGAGGAGAATGATGAAGAATCATCTAGTTTTATATAGGATTTCAAAAAAGTGTATTCTAAGCAAAGAAGTCAGCAAAAATCGTTAATTAGTTGGCCTAGAAACTCGTAAGAGTTATGTGAAAAATTGAAAAATCTTTTGGTCTTTCTAGATGCTAACATTGGGACTCTACTTTTTTACTAAGTGCACTTTTTTAGTCTTTCTAAGCACTAGCATTAGGACTCTACTTTTGTATTAAGTGGTGTATTCTTTTTTTTCTCAGTTGTAATAAGTTGTTTTAAATCTGTTTAGGTCTCCTCGAAGTCACATTTGAGGTTTCTACAGGGCATACAAGTTCCCTAGGAGGTTACTCTTGGGAATCATTGCCTACATTGATTGTACTAACGCTCCAGAACCCCTATAAATAATGAAGCTTGTCAATGGATGAGACACTTCAGATTGGAATGAAAAAGAATTACATCTACTCTCTTCTAGCCTCTTTCTCCTCTCTCTAATCTTTAATCTCACACCTCTCTTCTCTCCTCTCTAATCTCTAATCTCACTCCTCTCTTCTATCCTCTCTAATTTATAATCTCACTCCGCTCTTTCTCTCCTCTCTAATCTCTAATCTCACTCCTCTCTCGCTCTCTCTCTATTTCTCTACCCTGTTCTACATCACCATGTGGTTAACCTTGTTGTGGCTTACACCAGAAGGAACAAAACATACCCAATAGTAAATGTCACAACCTGCAAATAGTCATGTCAGGAGACTTCTAGACCTAGAACCCATTCTGTTTTCTCCCTATGACAAAAATTGCCATATCTACTTATTCAATTAATTTGTTAAGATTGACATACCCCTTGAGCATCAAACATTGTTGGTAACTAAGAAAAAGCTTTGAAGTTTCAAATTTAAAGTTATAGAGGCCATAAGATGCAAAGAGCTGACTAACAAAAACTTTAAAGAATTCAAATATAAAATATCTGCATACAAGAGAGATATCAAATCATAAGTCAGGAAAAATTTGTATTGATCTGAGCTTTCAATCACCCACAACAAATTTTGCAAGTGCACTTTCGATTTGAGTTGCAGTAGATGGCTGATATATAGAAAGGCCCTTTGCTCCCTATAGTTAATGAGGCATGACCAACATGTATAACAAGTGAAACTACCTTTTCTTGAAGCCCATTGAAACCGGTTTCCAAGCCTCCAAAAGCAAAGGGAAGTCTGTTTCATCTAGTTTAGCACGCTTCTCATTCTCTTTAAAGCGTAGCCTCTTGAGTTTCCTAAATTTCAAAATGGTATATGAGATCACCTGACACGTTAAACCACATAGACGTAGAATTAGTTAAAGAGGAATCAGTAATATAAAGTAATGTCACTGATGCTTATGAGAATAAACTAGCAAAAGATTAACAAGAGATGCATTAGATCCATTTCAAAGTAACAAAGAAGAAAAACAGGGAATGAAGGAAAAGCTAAGAAATTCAAAATTTTAATCAGTTACCAAAAATCTTCCGAAATCACTCATCCTGACATACTCAGAAAGAAGGTTCCACATATATGTTGCCCAATAATAAGGATGTTTTACAGCAAGAGCTCTCTCATTCTAGTATTATATACTCATTCTGTCAGGTTTAATAACATCTTTTACCACAAAAAATGCCTTGAGTAATTACAAGCCACTTTCTTCTCCAATGTTCATTATAAACATGGATTTTGCATCAATGCGAAATAATTTAAAATGATAGAAGTGATTTAAGGTAACAAAGATGGAAACATTATATTATAATGATTTAACACCAGTATGGACCGGTAAGGCAAACTATAAAGATTATAGATCAATAAACAAAAGCTTGCATAGCAAAAAAAGCTACATCAGATAATGGTGGATGAAAATTATGAAGCCATGAACTAGCACTGAGCAAAGGCTTGTTAATTACACAAATAGAACAAGTGGTTTATCAGATGACCTGCAAAGGAAATTAGCATTAGATAGTCTTTCTAACAGTGCAAGATGCTGAAAGAATGTCTGCCTTCCTCCCAAATTGGCAATAATTACTTTGAGTAAATAGCTGGTGGCACATCATTTTTCATGTTATAAGCAATAATTCCTGCTAGATCACTTATCGCTAATGAATGTACAAGCATGTAAAGAAATCATTCATATGGATTAAGTTAATTGATCAAAGTCTGGTCCATAAATTAGTAATGAAAGAAAGTGGAGACACAAGACAATAAATGATCTACAAGTTTGATAAATGTTATAGGTAACTTTAAAGAAATGAATTGAACCTAAATTTTGTTTAAGTTCCATTTATAATTTTTCATCGGTAAGAAACTAAAGAACTTTCCAACCAGAACATCCTACTCTTGCCAGGCTAGAGACAATGTGACAGTTGCCACTAAGAAGGGGTTGGAAGCTCATCTTAGGTTTTATAAAAAGGTATTCTGCCAGCAAGCACAAACTGAGAATTCAACAGGTTCATAAGTAGCAGCAAAACTAACAAATCAAAGTATCAAACTGATTCTTGTCTTAAGGTCCACTAAAATCTTTGAAGCAGCATGAAAGCAAAGACCACATACTTCAGTTGAAATTCATACATGATATAGAAGTTTACTACTTAAACAAGGATTAGATACATAGACAAATCAGGATACCTTTGCAGCTAGGATGAAAATGTCATTTGTTCCTAAAAAAGACAAGTATAAACATTAGAATAGGAAAAGTAATTTCATTGTAAGATAAATACAAAAATAACTAAAAAAAAGTTACTTGTACATGTTCACAGCATCACATAAAATAATCTATTAGAAGGGTACAAATAAGTAGATTTCATGGTCAACACTATGCCACTGAATTTTAGGTTTATATCTCCTATCAGTTTAACTGATTCTAACCATTAGCAATGCAGAGGGAAATAATCATCAAAACATTAGCCATGATTTAGTACATAATACAATCAATTTAGAATAAATTACGGGAAAAGAGTCTTTTATAAGAGGATGAGGCATTGAGTAACACGTTTTCATGTAGTTAACTTACCATTGGAATGTTCTATAAATTTAAGTATTGCATCCCTTTTTGATGGTTCTGTATTCCTCCCAGTGCATAGCAAAGAATGAAATGATTCCCAGTCCAAATCTGTACATAATTTGCTACAAGAATAAAGCAATTCAGTCAAAAGGATCTAAAAGCAGGATATGATTTAACAAAAAAATAGACAAGATATTGAATACATATAATAATGAACAATAAAGAAGCATTTAAAGCATTAACTTGACATCATGGTAATTATTGATAAACTTACAGTTATTTATGATCTGTAAGCATGACTAACAAATGTGTTTAATGCCATTGCTCACTTGTTTTGAAGTTTTCACCTTCTAAAACTTGAACATGTTTTCAATGACAGAAAGCATTTAGTGAATATGCCATTGCATTTCTAACCTGCAATAATGTTCTTCTTTGCACCCACCGGGACAATAAAAAATTGAAGGTAAAGCAAATAGATTTGTATAAGGCAAAGACATATTGCCATTGATAAGTGACTGTAGCACCTCCGTGGGAATAGAATTGTCCTTTGAGTTTGTATAAGTACTTGAGCCTATACCATGGCTTCCATTTGAGACAGAATGTTTTTTTATGTCATCTAACACTCTTGTGCACGCTTTTTCTGGAAATCTTGACAATGACTCTTTGCACTCCTTATTAGCAGATAATCCCAACTCTTGCAAATAGAGTTTCCTCCCAATTTGAAGTTCTATAGAACCAATAAAGCGAAAACAGTAACTACATACAAGACAATCAACCTGCAAAGGTGAAACAACAATCACCAAGTAATACGGATGTCTAAAAAGATGACATAATAATAGAGACCTTATTAGAAATGTGTTGAGCTGCTACAAGTATTTGATCCTTTAAAACAAGTTCACCTTCTTCAAATTCCTTGATGGCATAGACAGCTGCACTCACACACAGAATTCAAGGCACCACACTCCTCAATTAGATTGAACTATAAGGAAAAAGTTTAAACTAATATTGATAATGTCACTAAATAAACTTTAGGTTTATACTTAATTTAATTCTATTTGTTTCATATGAAGTTCAAGATATTCTCTAATTCCAGAAGAGAATATAGGCCTCCCCAGGAAGAGCAAGAGAATATTCCATTTCTACAGATTTCTATATTCCCAGGAAAAATTGTTTTCAATGATTCTATCAAGTGTTTCAAGCATAATCATTTTTTGCAACTATTTTAGTTATAGCTTTTATATGTCATTTGATGTTTCTCAGTATGGCTTGTTGTATCATTTGTGGATTAGATGAGACATAAATCTTGACCTGATTATATCACAAGCATACACAATAACTGACTTGTGCAGACGGGCTCATGTTCCGTTCCTTGAAACAGCTGCTGAAAAAGATAGGAAATTTCGGTATTTTGGATGATGAATGAAGCGCCAATTCAGGGTTTTCCTTTTTGGGTACCAGACCCGTTTCAGCTATCTGCTGGAACGATATATACCAGTCTATATTGGTGTACCAACACATGGTACATAGGTGTGTTCCAGTGTGATGACGAGGAAGAAAAAGAGGGTGAAGAGGAAGAGGCAGTGGAGGAACAGAGGAGGAAGAAGGAGAAAGGAAGAAGAAAGAAGAGGAGGAGAAGTGCAGCAGCAACAGTGGCAGCGTCAAAGTGGAAGCGGCAGCGTCAAAGTGGAAGCAGCAGTGGCAAAGAGGCAACGGCGAGGGCTGTGGCATCATATACGAGAAGAGGGCTTGCAAACTATTTGCTTTTTTTTTTCTTTTCTAACGCTGAAATGGACTGGGGCCCATCACTTTTCAATGTTTTTTACTATTTTAATCGAACCACCCAAAACGGGGTTAGTCCTCGTATTGGTCCACGCCCAGTCCTGTACCATACCATTTCAGGTGGTACAGCAATCACTGCTCCAAATATATAAATGACGTTGAGTGATACACAAGTCTCTGTAGGCTGTAGCAGTTGTACTCTGCTCTTTCTGAACTATTTCATCTTACTTTCTTCATTTCATTTCTTTATCCAAGATATTCTCTCTATAGTGTAATGACATTCATTTTTCGCTAAATGTAATTGATGTTATGCTTGTTAAAATTTGTAAGTGGCCTGTTCTACTCTAACCACAGTTAAGAGTTCGTAGATAAAGGTTTGCTGCCTTACAACACTGATCTGACCCTTAGGATGTATAGAAGGGCTTCAAGTTCTGGCATCATTTTCTCACACATTGTTGAAATATAACAAGATGAAGCTGTGATGTCCCCGCTATATGGGGTCAACTACAAGGATATTCTATGGCCATTGAGAATGAAGTTGAGTTATCTAACACAAAATATACCCAAGATGATAATGTCAGCGAAGAAATTAATCTGCCAATTGAAGAATACTGAAGTCATATTAATTGAGATATTATGGCAGCATAGTCACAATCCCTTCCAACAGGAGTCAACATAATATAGGTATAAATATGCTGACAAATAAGCAAGACGGAGGCGAAAAAAGATGAAAAATTATACCTTTCCCACTACTGTTGCTAAAATTTATCTTTAAATTGTTGCATTTTCTTGTTTTCATAAGTTCATCATAGTAATCCTGAAACAAGATAAATATGTCTTAGTACGGACATGCTGCAAAGATATATACATCAAGTTTAGGCAAAAGACAAAGGATTGGTGAAGATTAACAATACATTCTATCTTCATCGTCTTACAAATCCGCAATGCTGTAATTGCCACCAAACACATCATCACAAACCAGAGTGTTGGTAGATAAATAAAACACATATATAAAAAAGGGAATGAATTTGATAGTTGCATGCTATTTGTTAGTACAAATCTACCAATAATTCATGTGTGCAATATCGTACAAAAAAGAGATCTATAGAAAAGTGGATTTTTTCTATTTCATCACTAACTACAAGACGTCAACATCATGACCTCAACATTGCTTTAAGCCTTCAGCTAACTTTTGCCACTAAGCAACCTCTTCATCAATCTTTTCCTTTCTATCCTTCTGCAAAAAATTACATTTTTGTTAACCAAGTTTTCAGCTTATAACACTTCACTCAACACTGATACCATGAAATTACAAATTTAAACATACATCATCAGTGTTTGATTCTTGATGATGTCATGAAATTGCATGCTTTAAGGCATGCAAGTTCTCTTTTTTTCTTTCTTTCTCCAGTTAACTGACTTTCTTATGTGACACTGAAATCCTGATAGAAGTGGACAATTAAATTTGGCACAGTTTTATTTCAAGAAGTATGACTCAAGAGAGGTCCCATGTTAGAACAAATAGAGTATCTTGAGATGCACAACCAAAAGAAGAAAAAAGGATGAGATAATAGAGACAACACAAAGGTTTACATGGTTTAACTTTAATCCTTCTGTCCTACAAACACAGCTGATACAGGAGACTTTCACCACGAAAAGAAAACAATAGGGCAATCTTATCCAACCTCTCAGACTTCCAATAACAGCACTCAGAAAAAGAAAATTGAACGAACAGCAAAATTCCTGAGTATTGGGGTCCAATCCAATGTAAAATGCAGGGCCTAATGCGAAACTTCATAACCATAGAGCATACTCACGTTAATTCTATCAATTAGGCAACAAATCATCCATAAGAGATTCCTTGCAACAGATCATAAATCATGAGGTGACCAATATTTAACACAGCACCATACCTCATCCTATGATTATGTTATGCCCCTACTATCTCTTAAGAAAACACATATAATATATGTTAAAATCAATTTCTTTAATATGTGGTAGATGTTGATTCTGGCTAACCTTTCAAACCATTTGGCACAGCGAACTTAAGCTCTCGGAGAAATCCTAATGGTAAGCAATACAGTAGAACCAAAACAAGAACCTTTTCACAAAATGAGGCAAACTTTAACTCATGTATTCCTAATTTCCAAAGAAACCCTGATTGTTAATCCAACACTAGAGCCATAAATAAGAACTGTTTAACACAATCTGGCAAACTTTTAGCTCATGAATTAAGAAAATATAACTCCAAAGGCCAAGCATCATATATGGGCATACCCAGTGCATAAGGCTCCCACCAATGCAGAGTCTCAAAAGAGTCAACGCATACAACCTTGTTAGAGAGGCTGTTTCCGAGACTCAATCGTTGGTTTCCCCGGTTGCAAAGGAACCGTAACCAAGCACCTAACTCGAACTAAAACAGCGGCTTATCTTGCAACCCCTACTATTACTCAGTAAAACAACCATCGTACTTAACTTATTGGCCCTCCTTCTTTGTTAAGCTTTCATCTTCCACAGGGTTTGATCCAAAGGAAACACTAGGATGCTTAAAAATCTCATTTTGAAGAACAAATCTGCTGCTTCATCAAAATTCAATACTTTTTTTCGGGGGACACCACGAGAAAAGACGAAAGAATCGTTGGAACGTTACGGCTCGTAGTTGCAGTCGTACCACGACATTTAAAGAAGAAACGATGATCCGAGAGAGAGCAATATTCGACCTTAATCGATTCAGGAGAGGGAGGTGACAGAAGGACAGCTATCTGATCAGAGAACTCCTTATCAAGAGGGCACGGGCTGCTGCTACCGCTGCCTCCTTCCATCGAGATTGAGAGGACGCCACAGACGGTGGAGGGTTTCGGTGAGAGGTTTAGGGGAGCGAGCATTCCCAGCTCCAATATGTACACGTGCATCTCTAACCGAGCAACGATTCATCTAGATTCGTGCCGGTCATAGATTGCTCGATCTTGGCCCTCCATCTCCCACGGCGGTCTCTAATTGTCGATTTTTCTCTCCCATGAAATGAATTGTTGTGTTATATATATATATATATATATATAAAGAGCTGCTTCAGGTAAAACTCAGATGAGAGATTTGAAGTCATCTTCTGAAAGTTGGGTTGGGGAGTCACCATGAATGAGGGTGGTGGTGAGATGAATCCACCTATGTGGCCTGGGAATCAATCCTGATGCTGTTCTTGGCGATGTTGTAGCTCGTCATGATTCCTTGGAGGCCATGTCTTGTACTAACACTTGCTAGTAATATAATATGCCATGGATTGGGGAGCAGTTTGGAAAAGGGGAGGGCATTGGAGGCACATCATTTGTCTAAGAATGCAGGTAAATAGGGCATTTTCCTTTCTCTTTCTGATCTTTCTGTGATGCAGCTCTTCATGCAACCAATCTTGCTTTTCTTGGTGTCTCAATGCTTTGATCTCTGTTCCTTTTCCTTTTAGGTTGTAGAAATGTTCATATTTTCATATTCTCTTTTTCAGTTCTTAGAGCTCAGCAAATTATAGCCTTTGTCAGCTTCATCATTATCTACATGTCACTTCTAATCCTAATTCAAACTTTGAAATATTTATCTATTCCTCCTATTTTATTATGTGAAAATCCAAGTTAGGAATGCATTATAACCTATTAAATTCTTCCTGTCAACTCATTTTGGAACTCTCTGCACTGCATTTCACCCAATGCAGCATTGTCGAAACTAACATTAAGACATGCAATAATTTGCAGACTCCATTGTGAAACTTAGTGACTGATTTGCTCCAATCATCTTTCTCTAGATGATGAACTAGAGTGTTGAGACTAGATGAGTAGTTGATACTCCTTTTTGTGGTAGAACAATTTATTGGCACCATAATGTGAGTGCTCATAAACACTGATGCTCAGCTACTGATCAACTTAGCGTACATGTTCAAAAGCAAATGTTCATACGTGATCTAAGAAAAAAAAATTTTCAGGGAAAACAAAATATAGATTCATTAGTAGAAAGAAAAAACAAATAACTGCAAAATGTTTGTCTTCTTTGATGAGTCTGTTTTATTCGTGCTGCTTACTGCTTAGTAGACTTACAGGGAACTATTATATAAACTTAAAATTCTGCAACTATTTGGCCTAGAGATCTCTACTACTTTCTCTTTTTCAGGATTGGGATTCTAATGATCTTTCCTCCAATAAACAAGGTAAACTATGGCACCATGCCGTCCTCATTCTCATGTAATCTCAGGAAACCACCCTCAACACAACAGGTAACACTCTGCTGAATAATATCCCTTACGCTATATGTGAACGCGAAACCCAGGTCAGTCAAATGCTTGGAAGATATTACTGGATGTATAGAAATGCAGGAGTTCTCATGGAACCTGGAAGCATTTGTGGCATTTTGTCATTCTATGATACCAGCCAAAACTATTAAAATACTCGTTTATGGACCAGATTGAGAACAATTACCTTTTAGAACTAAGTGCAGGGTAGTTTTTAGATAGAAGATTAGTCAGTTCAGGCAAAGAACAGCTGCCAGCAGAGCAAATGTATCGACCTTCGGTCATAGGTTGTTCCATTAGAAATATATGTGCGTTGCATATGTCTTCAACGTGTGCCAATGGTATTGAACCCAATCTGGAGTGTACTGAGGCTAGTATAGGATAGAGTTCTGGATCACCTGTCAACAGTAGTGCAAGAATGTACAAATAAATTTGGATAGTCAGGAGAATAGCTAGGTATATTTAGTAAACTATCTATAGTATCGATATCATTCTCTAAAATTAAGAAAGTCAGGTTCAAATAAAATTTGATTCTTCCTTTGTTGTAGTATGTGTGAAGGTAAAATGTGTTGTTTCAAAGAGTTTGAGGTACACAGTCTTCTCCACAGACCTAGTTGTCGAGTTCACTACACATGTTGAACATATAAACATCGTCCAGAACTAATTTCTATGTCGTAGATACTTTAATGAACTAAATTTTTTTCCCTGAGTTCTTCATAGTCCTGTTCTAGAAAATACATAAATTGGTACCGATATGGCACTAGATTCAGTAAATATATGTTACTCCGCATTCCTCATTTTTTTCACTCTAGAAAAGAAAAGAGACTGTGCCATTCGATACTTATGATGGTTTATATCTTTCTTGATTTAGATTTTGATTGTTGTGATTTAGCGAGTTGAATAAACATCCTAAGCTACTCTATATTACCACATATTAAGTACTAGAAGTCAACACTGTTGAAGAAGGCTTCATGTTTTTTCAAGGGAGAAAAGCTTTGCAATCTTAATAAGTAGGTTGGGTTGGAAGTTACCGGTAATAGGTGACAGCAGAACTCGAACACTTGCAGGAACACTTGGAGTTAGGAAAGGACCAGCTACTGTAGGTGGGATAATTGACACCAAGTCAATGCCCTTCTCCTTGGCAAACTGGAATGCCTTTTCCTCAGTCAATAGCTTTGACAGAACATAGACCTGCAGTTTGGAAGGTGTCACTGCAACAGATGAACTGCTAAATCTAGTGCAGTCAGAAGCAGTCATCTAGATCAAGTAGCTGATAAAACCCTACTACTGCTGTAATCTTTCCATTGGCAGATGAAGTGATAAAAAATACTGTTGCTAAACAGTAGTTCATCCAAAGTGACAACAAAAAGAGAAAAAAAGGAAACTTAAGTTGCAACGTCAAGCCCCTTGGAATCAAAGAAAGGCTTCAATAGTTTATTGCAGTTATTAGTGCAAGGAGACAATCACATACATACGTTTTTAAAGATGGAGAACTTACCCATCCTTTTGGCTTTGTCTTCCAAACTTGATTTATCGGTACGATAGATGATTCATCGACCATCGATCTCAACTCCCCTTCATCATCTTTGGCAGTGATGGTACTAATGGAAGATGTAAATACCACTTTCCTAACTGAACCTGATTTTGCACAAGCTTGTAGGACATTAATCACTCCTCTTACTGCCGGTTCCAATATCTTTGTTCTTACATGGTTCTCTACAATCACAATGGAGTTCATGTTAGTCCTTCTGAATTTTGCAGTACTTCACCAAGGGTTTTGCTGAAATTTCTGTCAAGGTTTGTTGAAAGAGTTTGAGAGATGTCTGAAATTTGAGCTAACTTTAGGCTGAAGAATGATCAAACATAATTAGTTCAATTTTACATGTAGGATTCTGATGGTGGCATCAAGAATTTTTCTTGTCAAGACAAGTAAATCATTTCCTATACGGAAACAACTTACCAATATTTCCTTTTGCTGTGGTGTTGAATTCCATACAGGCTGCTACATGGAACACAAACTGGCAGTTCTTGACTGCCTCATCGTAGCTTCCATCATCACTGAGATCAGCTTCGAAGATCTTCAACCGGCTTTCTCCTCTCAGTGTTGACAGAAGCCATGATGCCTTCCCTTACACCAAGGAAATAAGTTCAGCATTAATATCACCTGTAGTACATTGCTTAGTCTTCCAACATGCTGGTTTTACTGTTTCTATTTCCATTAACATAGTAAAAGATTTAGCTTATCTGATGGTTGGAACACATCAATAGTAGCGTGCTGAGGTTATTGTTTCTTTTGCTTTCATCTATACCGTCGATACTTTGTAACATGTATTATCATGTTCTCTCTTTAAAGGAAAAGAGAAAGCAATCATGCAGTGTTATGATTGATTAAAGATGAAGGCTGAGATCAGAACAGGTTTCTGTTCAATCCATGGAATCAGAAGGTGATCATCTCACTCACTCTCTCTTCAACCAGCAAGATCAAATCAAGACTGAAAGAAACAAGAAAGAACAGTTCAGGCCAAAATTATTCTCGGCTTCCATCTTCACTGAGATCGGCGTCCAAGACCTTCTTCAACCAGCTTTCTCCATCAGTGCTGACAGAAGCCATGACACCTTCCGTTACACCAAGTTACGATTCATTAAAGATAAGGCTGAGATCAGAACAGGCTTCTGTTCATCACTGCAGAAAGTGATCATCTCACTCGTTCTGCCATCACATCAAGACTGAAAGAACCAAGCAAGAACAGTTCAGGCCAAAACCATTTTTGGCTTCCATCCTCACGGAGATAGGCGATGACGAAAGCCATGACACCTTCCCTAACACCAAGTTATGATTCATTAAAGATGAAAGCCGAGATAAGAACAGGCTTCTGTTCATCGGTGCAGAAAGTGATCATCTCACTCATTCTTCAACGAGCAAGACCACATCAAGACTGAAAGATTCAAGCAAGAACAGTTGAGGCCAAAACCATTCTTGGCTTCCATCCTCACTGAGATCACCGTCGAAGATCTTCAACCAGCTCTCCCCACTCAGTGTTGACAGAATCTATGACACCTTCCCTAACACCAAGGTATGTTCATCATCTCACTCACTCACTCACTTTTCGACAACAAATCAAGATCGAAAGAAACAAGCAAGAATAGTTCAGGCCAAAGTCCTACATGATGGAAGCAGATTCTTCCAAGCGCAGAGGAGGGGGATCGTAAGCAGACCAACCTGCATCCCTGATCGTTGCATTAACGTGATACCCCCTTCGGAGAAGAGATCGGACGAGCCAGGAGCCAATGAACCCGGTTGCACCAGTCACACATGCAACTCGCCTCGCACCGGATGCAGCCGCCGCTACAGTTTGGTGGCCATCCATCTCTGGTTTCCTCCTCCTGCAAGTCTTGAAGCTGAAGCTTGACATGGAGGTAAATGGAGATGGGGGAGAACGGTGACACTGTACTTTGTCGATGTGTGATTGCTCGATCGTGTCAACGAAAGGTTCAAATCATAAGGACACATCGAGTATGTGTCATGTCATGGATTTGATGCATGCATCTGTGGTGGATAGCGCAGTCATGCAATTACTTAGTACCAGTGAGCAGAGATACCTGAGAGAAGATGACCCACAGAAAGACATGTATGTCTCTAGAAAGTTCCAGCTGACAGCCTTTGTAAAGGATTGCAGGCACGTGCCTGACGACGCTAAACTTCACATTTATTATCATATCCCGATACAAAGTAACTCGGAAAAGCATGTGACTGCACCAAACCTCTCATTTATTATCATATCCTCATACAAATTGGCTCGGAAAATAATTGCAGGCATGTGACTTCTCATTTATTATCATGTCTCGATACAAATTAACTCATATCAAATAAAATATAAATATATTATTTGTATATATTGGTGGATGTGAATTTCTATTTTATAATTTTTTTTCATAAATAATTAGGTATAACTCGGTAGATAATAACATTTGGACAATATCACTTAGATCGGGATATCATACTCATAAATAATTAGGTATTTATTAAAATAAAACAAAGGATATCATTCTCATAAATATAACTTAAGTCGGGATATTATACATATAATGCTAATCTTAAAAAAAAATATATAAAAATAAGTATATTTACTAAAAGAAATATTTTATAGCTAATCATTTATTGGAAAAAAATGAGGAGAAAGAATTAGGGTGAATTTCCAAACAAACCTTAAATATCTAAATTTATCTTAAATATCTATTTTATATTTAAAATTATTTTAAATCTAATTAAAGTAGATGTGGATGTTCAAAAATAAAATATTATTGCATAAGTTATTGGGCCATCGAGCTTGATGTATATACATCAACTCACTACTCCCCTGCTTTATATTATCTTACTTTCGATTGTTCCCTCACTTGATCATGTAATACATTTAATAAACATATTGTTTCGATATGAAATCCTAATGACTCTTCATCGTTATTATTATATTCTGAACTACTTGAATTAAGGGTGACATCATTGTCCATTGCTAATCTTCGAGACTTTGCCTTTTAAACTTGACCCCTTATTTTAGTTTTTTCATAATCAAGCCTCGTATTGTTCTATGTCGAGTAAAAAATTCTTAAATTTCTTTGTATCACAGGCACCCTCATAGCAATGTGGCTCGGGTGCTTTTAAATTTTGTGATAATGAAACATAAGTGTTGCATCTGAAGTCCACGATGTTGATATAAGATTTTGCCTTCTCTTACGAGTTCTCTACTTTATGAAGCATTTATTGACCTTTGTATAGTTTTTCTAAGCTCGCTTCAAGAACGTGGGTTTCAACTATTGTAAGCATCTTCTTATTGTTCTTTTATTTCACATCTATCAACATCCTAGATTGTGCTTCCTCCACCTACAAAGAATTATCAACTTTTCGCTTGCCATTTTGGTTGTTACGCTCCAGAGGAGCGGCTCCACCTACAAAGAATTATCAACTTTTCGCTTGCCATTTTGGTTGTTACGCTCAAGAGGAGCGGCTCCAATAACTTGAGAGTGAGTTTGTACTTGCACTCCACCTATGATTACTTAGGGCAATGATCTTACTTATCATCTTGCTTGCTTCGCCATAGCAAGAGTATGAATCTTTATTATTTGCTCAAATAACTTGTGCACTATGATATTAAATGTCATAAACTTAACTAAAATTATATTAGCTATGATGCACCCTTGCATTATTTATCCACAAAGGGTTAACTTAGAAATAACCTCAAATAGAATCTAAAGAACATGCAAAAAGAAAGTTGATTAACTTAAGAAAATGAGTAATTAATAAGTTTCGATATCTTATAAAAGAGGGTAACATACAAGCAATTTAGTAGTTATAAGAGAGAAGAGAGGAAGAGGAAAATAAGGACTTTAGAATACCCAACACTATCCCAAAGTCCTATCAAGCCTTATACTACCAAAGTATCTCCACGGTGTTAAAGATGATTGATGTTTTAAACTGTATGTTGCTCGTAAAAAATAGATTATGATAAATAAAAATTGAACTATTTTGATATATTTTTGCTTAGTCTACGAGCGATTACTGTATTGTTTTATAAACTACTATTGTTTATCGTTTTCAAATAAAATATACAAAATAAGATAAAAGATGCTATCCTCCATTGGATAAGGTATTTTAGGCATAAGATGAGCATTCGTGATAATACAATGACGAGAGATATTTATGATATTATAAGAAATATGAGATATCATTTTAAAAAAGAATAAGGATATCTTATGAAAAAAAAATTCAAAAAAAGATTTTATATATATATATATATATAAGTTTAAGGGTAAATTCTTAGAAAAAGCTTAGAATTTCTTAAATAACACCCAAACTTTGGGAAATTATCATAAAGCTTTTTTTTTTTTTTTTCAAACTGATCATTCTATCTTTATCAATCATCACCCGTTGCTTATGGCATAGGCACGACTAATGATGAAGGCCTCGCCCTAACTACGATAATTCTCACATCCCCTCCTTGCGTGAGGATTACAAGCGACAGATAAGGTTAGACCAAGGGAAGGTGATGCGATTGGTGGAATGTAATCAGACAATGACAACGATGAAGGTCACGATAAGCTTGATAGAGGTAGGGGTAAAAAAGTTTTTTAATATTGTTCGTGCAAATTTCTCAAAATTAGGACGATTTCTGAAAATTTATCAAAATCAGATATGTTTTCCGAAAATTCACCCGAAAATTAAAAGATATCTTTATCCCTTTTAT